CTTCCATATCAATAAATTAATTTTTTTTATTTTCTCTTTTGCTTAAACTTTCTTCTATATCTTCTCGTATACACTCCTTTTACAATCTTTATATTTTAGTTCCTCTACTTTCCTCCTTCAATTCTTGACAGGATACTCGGTGCTTTCTTGAACTCCTTACAGGACACAAATTTTCTTTTTCGTTTTTCTTTAAACTTGCATTTTTCGTATTTAAAATTATTTAAATTTGCAGCTGCGCATCGGGTCCATATAATTTTTAATCCTCAGTTTTATATTTTTAAATATTTTATGTTTTAGCTTTTATAAAAAACAAAAAAAAATAATCACAATTTTCAGGAAGGCTCGGAAGGATCGCTCAATCCCTACTTCTGAACTGTAGGATGCCGTAATTTAACAATACACATCCGCTCTGTTCAATAAATCTTTTTATTCTGCTTGAAATACAAATTTTCACAATACAGAAAAACTTATTCGTTCACTTCCCTTTTCAACGAGTCACGTACGCATGCTCCCCTTTTACATACATTCAACAACGAGTTACACAAGTTTACGCCCCCTTGAACATAAGTATTTACATACACACATACATTTATCAGAATGAAACATAAAAAGTATTTTACAATATAAGAACATATAAACCAGAACAAGACAACATTCAACAAAACAATCAGACAAGAAACACAAATACATACATATAGGGGAAATGTGAATGAGAGTGTGATAACGAACTTTTATGTCGGATCATTTGAAACACAGATCACTACAAAACATCATGCACAAGTACAAAATAATAGAGTACACTACCATACATGCTACAATGAGAAGCTGTTTTTCATGGCAGAAATACACTCGGAGGTTTGCCATTGCCTGCCTAGGGACGACCGCTGTTAAGAAAAAACCTTTTTTCTATATTTTTGCGATATTGCTTTGACCAGGGTTTGAACCCAGGTGCTGCGGAGTGGAAGCGCGCACTGCTTACCACTACACCACAGCGGCCGACATCTTTCAATTAGTCATTAGAAAAACAGAAAAGCTTTCAAGATAGTTGCCGGAATATAAAGAATTTTGTCTCTCGAAAGACTGCGGTGAGTTGAAAGACAGATGCCAGAATTGGCCTATTATTGGTTTTGTTTGTCTTTTAGCAAACAGTTTCTAAAAAATTAATTAATCAAATAAAATTGTTTCCTTTTTAAAGCCTAAATCAAAATAAAATTAGATAAAAAAAGCAACAAAATTCAATAAAAATTTAACAAGAAGAACTCAAACTCGGATCTCTCGAATGGCACGCCAGTGCTCTGCTCACTCAGCCATTGCATCTGTTGAGCGAGTGCGCGCAAAATGATATAAATACTTATTTTTATATTTAACTAGATCGCCCTCACCCGCTTCGCTGAGTGTATGAAATTTTTGCGTCCTACATTGAGTAAAATTTATTTCCAGGAAACTCAATTCAAAAACAGGAGGTTTAAAATTTGTTTAACCATCTTCAAAATATTTTCAAACTAAAACTTTCTTAAACTTCTCACTGGTCATACTTTTTCTACTCAATTGAGATTTTAAACAGATGGAAACCCTTTACATGTAGTTCTGAAATTAAACCCTTTTAAAATCGTTTTGATTGATTCCCATATTGTATTAATTCATTTAAATTTTTGAATAGTTTGAATTTAACCTTTTAAACGGTTGGCAACCTTTTTAAACCTCTTTCGTCTAACACTCATATTGTGATACATATTCAAAACCATTTCGATTCATACCAATCTATACCAATATATATTTTGAAAGCCGTTTTTTGTGTTCGCAAAGCTCGAGAACGGCCCAACCGATTTTTTTGAAATTTCCGAAACCTGATTCAGACGTGGAACCTCCCATAAAAACCGAATTTTTCATACCGAATATCTCTGGAAATGTTCATGGTAGAGTACTGGAACTTGGTATGGAGATATATGAAATCAATCTTATACTCCTGGAGAAAAACGGGCTATTTGAAAAGAGGCCGTGGCGCCGTACAAACGTATATATAATTCAAATGTGAAATCCTCCTAAATTCTCGGACGGATTTTAACGAAATTTTTTGTGAGTTTTTGAGTAACTCTGTAACTCTCTGGATAGTGTAGATTCACTAATTGACCCGCCAGTTGGCACTAGAGTTAAATTATTACTAAAAATCTTATTGATGATTCACGTTGGCTAATATTCAAAATATGTATTGGTAACTGTAAAGGCAATACTATTGCAAAAAAGAGCTGCCACGTGGCGCTGGAGTCATTACGAACAATCGCCAAGTTAGAAAAGGTGCCGCGAATGTCAGAATAAATAAATCTGTTGCCCATTGAGTATATTGAATTGAGTTGTGCATGGGTAAATCTCAAATCACCACCGATAAATCAACCGCCAAAACCATTGCGCGCCTTTTACTGTAATAAACTTACTATTAAGGTATTTCGTCTGAAATAAGTCTATGTATATTGGATTTCTGTAGAACAATTATACGCATCCTTCTTGAAATTGTCACCAACTATACTATAAAGTTTCTGGGACAGATTTACTATAGAACCGGATCATTGTTGCCGCCAGGGAGTAAAGAGGAAATGTTCTTCAAATTTATTTCGTTGTGAGATTAACCGTTATATGAAATGTTACACAATTAGAGAATTTCAAGAACGACCACCAAACCATAATCTTAGCCGATGAGCGTGCCAATGGAAATCGTAAACGTGAATTGGTGGTGAAAATGTTGGACCAAAAAGTTTCAATAAAAAAAAATTATTTTGAGCAGGACGAAGTTCGCCGGGTCTGCTTCTATTATAATATTTCATTTAAACTAATTAAGTTGAATTTTTAAAAAGATGGCAACCCTTGTGTAAGACTTCAATATTATTCAAAACTTTAAAACTTAAGGTTTCTTAACAATATTTTGTTTGACAACCATATTTTAATTCTTCAGATGGCTTGCGTATAATTAATTTAAATTTTACTTTTCAAACAGGTGGCAAACGTTTCAAAATATATTAAACTACAGCTTTTTTAAGTCTCTTAACATCCATTTTTTTAATATAATTTTATAATTTTCAAATAAATAACTCCCTTAATTGAAGTTGAATTAGATTTTTTTAAAAGGTGGCAGCCCTCATCCGTGAGTAGAGAATGATTTTATATGTCTCCATACCAAGTACCAGTAATCTACCAAAAATATTTCCTGAAAAATGCAGTATGAAAAATTCCGTTTGTATGGGAGGTGCCACGCCCTCTTGTCTAATCGAGATTAAATGTATCCAATATTTTAAGTTGGGCTAAATAACAGCAGTGTACAAAATTTCATGATGATCGGTTGAATAGTTTAAGCGTGAAAGCGTAGCAAACAAACAAACTCAGTTTCGGATTTATAATATTAGTAAGGATTTCAAACTGAACGAAAAAAGTGAGTGATGCCACAAAAATAAAGGGCCGCAACTGGGGCCATATTTAAATTTTTCATTTAATAATTTTTTACTCTGAGAGGAAACATTAATTGACAGTTTTAACGATCATTAGTTAAGTGCCCGTTAGAGCTAGTTTAAGGAACGTTTCTGAGAGCGGCTGTAAGTATTTTTAAAAACGTTGCCACGTTTGATCTGTGGACCCTTTGTTTTAAAGTATATTCCTTTTAATATTGATATTTCAGTATAAATGTCATCAATGTTGAAACATTTCTTTCTTAAAAATTACAGAAATATATTTATATTTATAATTGAAGAAATCTAGTATTTTTGCATATTATATTTTTTTCCAACAGTATATAGTACGCAGACCCAAAAATAGTACAATACTATATATTATAGTACGGTTGGCAACCCTACCTAGACCTTCAATATGTTCAACTTTCATCCAAATACTTAGAGGTCGCGCACAGAGGTGGCCGACATGAAATGCCTCATATTGCAGTTTATATCGTCTAAAGGTATAATATAAAGGCTGATATAAATTTCGAATGAAAATTGTAAAATTCAATGATGTTATTGAACACGCAACATTCTTAAACAATAGAAAGCATTTCAAATAGAACAAGTAAGAAAGTATAAGTTCGGGTGGAGTCAAACATTAAATACCCGGCGCAAGTATTAAATATATGTTTTTCACCTTTCCGAAAGCTACCGCACTTGGTAAGCCGGGGTGTATAAATTTTGAGTAAATTAGCGTCCTTAAATTTCGAAATATTGAAGTTTCAAGCATTTCTGAAATTTACCGTTGTATGAAAGGCGGCCATAATTTTAGTCCGATTTCAATAATTTTCAGTGCTTTGCTTTCATGTGGCAAGCACAATAATCATACCGACTGTGGTACAAATTAGTAGAACGGTTACCGAGATACATACATGTGATCATAAGTGGGCGGTGGCCACGCCCATTTTCCAAGGTTTTATCATAAACGTCTTTCTTGGTAAAGAATTGTCGCAAGCATCAATTTTGAATAAATTTCGTATTTCTCGAAATTAGCGTTATATGGGATGTGGGCGTGGTAATTGTCCGATTTTAAAAATTTCCAGCCATTTGGTATGCTATACCAAGGCCAACAACTGTGCCAAGTTTGGAAGAAATTTGTGTACCGGTTACCAAGATATACACATGTATATGGCTACGCCCATTTTCCAAAAGTTTTTGATATTCTTATTTTTCGTTTAAAAGTTATTGTAAATATCAATTTTGAGCGAATTATCTTCAGCAGTTACTAAAATATCGCAGTTTTCGTATTTCTGAAAATTACTGTTATATGGGAGGTAGGCGTGGTTATTATCCGATTTTGCTCATTTTCAATACCATCCGTCCTACGCTCGAAAGAAGTACACGTACCAAGTTTCGTTAAGATATCTCAATTTTTACTCGAGTTATCGTGTGCACAGACGGACGGACGGACAGACATGGCTAAATCGACTTCTCTATTTATTCTGAGCATTTATAAAAACACTTTAACGTCAGGAAGTCAAACTTAAGTTTTAATAATATATATTTTATTTTTTTTAGTTTCAGGACATGACGAAACAGAAACAAATGTTGCGCCGGTTTTCCTTGTGCAGTTGAAAGATGCTGAAATGTTGGAAAATACACATTTCCGGTTTATGATCAAGGTGATGGGCGATCCAAAGCCACGAGTGAAATTGTAAGTTTGTTTTAAATGATATAAATAGTTATACACACATAAATATGTATGTACATATGACTAAGAAAAATATAAAAAAATATTTAAATTAATTCTTCATGTCACTTTCCATTTCGAATTGTGATGGAATGACCAATTCCTACAAAAGGCTCTAGTCTGTTAAACTCAGAGCTTCGAAAAGGAATCACAGGAGCAGTTATACATGTAAAGTGATTTTCTAAAATAGCTTTTAATTTCCGTAAACCGAAAATTGGAAAATTACTTTTTGGCTATTCCGTCGGCGATTGCAGAAAATTTTACATTCAACTGGATTAATAATAATAATAATAGATTGGCGCTTACACATATGTTAGTGTTTGGCCGAGCTTCTCCTCATCTTCCTTCAACTGGGTTACCAGACATTTTATTACGTACGCGTAAAAATGAAATTTTTTATTTGATTACCGTTTCAAAATGTTCGTATTTAAATCAAGTGAAAAGTGTTCAAAATTGAATATTACCATTATACATACACTACGTATAATATAAATATTCAATTCAAATACGCCCGTATTAAAATGAAGCATTTTTCACTGCACGGATGGCGCTTCGCACGTCTCGGATGCTTTTTCATATGTAATTAAGAAAGTATATGTATACAAAGCATGCACAGCGGTGACAACACACACACATATAGTCTGTTCCTTTGAACTTCGGACTAAAGCCTGTGGAACTGTCAAACTACAATTTTACTGTCTCAAGTGAGAGTAAGAGGAGAACAGTTGCAGAAGTGCACGGGAACGCAAAAAGCACTATTTCCTGTAAAAACGTCAGTCGGTTTGTTCAAATGTCATTGGTACAACATTGATTTGGCTAAAATATCACTAAATAATTATTAAAATCTATACAAATTCAAATATTCCGTTGTTTACTTCCATTTTTTTTTACAAATATAAGATTCTTTGCTTTCACCGCTTTCTGTTTTTGTTTGCACATGCAAATCAGCTGATCGTTTGACACTTTTCTTGAACTTACAGGATAAAAAACTGCGGACTAAATCCTGTAACTTCTGACCAGGAACAGTTGATCAGTTACTCTCTCAAAAGTGTACCGGTTTTATGTCAATAGGAACGACTTCCTGTAAGTTCTGACTAAATCCTGTAAACGGGACTGCTATTGGAACAGACTAATACATGGTACATGCTCATATGTACAAATGCACTAATCGCTCGCTGTGATGTTGATTCAAACCAGGGTAGCCAACCCATTTTTGAGAATTCCTCGATTTCGACTATGAAATTCCCCGATTTCGACTATGAAATTCCCCGATTTCGCCCGATGTTTCGTAAAATTCCCCACCTCATTATTAAAAAAAAATAAAAATTTTTTATCTTGATATATTGCTGGCCTTTCTGTTTATTTTATTTCTAAATGTAATTTATCTATCTATCTATCTATCTATATGTTAATAAATGTGAATGTCTGTTTGCTTATTACCTTACAACTTTTGAACCACGACACAGAATCGCACGAAACTTTGCACACTTATTTGTTTTTACCCCGGGAAGGTTATAGGTGTGGTTTTGGGTGCGGAGTGTGGCACCTCCCATAGGCCTTGCAAATTTTTAATCAGCTATAACTTCGGAATCATAAGTCAAAAGAGCTTGAAATTTGGTACGAAGACATGTCTATGGTAGGCGCTTATAATATCTAAGTTTATAAAAGGGGGTGTGGCACATCCCAAAGGCGTGGAATTTTCTATCAGCTATAACTTCGGAGCAATAAGTCACATGAACTTGAAATTTGGTATGCAGACATATCTATGGTAGGTGCTTATAGTAAGGTATATATATGTAAGTGAGTTTGAAAAAGGGGGCGTGGCAAATCTCATAGTCGTGAAATTTTTAATCAGCCATAGATGCCGTAGGCCACATAATTTTTAAATTTGGTATGCAGATATATCTATGGTAGGTACTTATAGTAACATAACATAAGCGTGGAATTTTTTATCAGCCATAACTTCGAACCACAGGTCACATGACCCTTTTAATTTTTTCTGATATGCCTTTCGAATTTAAGAGACTTCAGTTTCCAGTTCCGTTAGCTTTTTCAATGGCAATAAACAGGAATGCCTTAAAATAAAACCCACTTTATCGAAAAAAAAATGTATGATAATTGTATTGGAAAATGCATTTATGTTAATAGATGCTTTCAAGTATTAAAAACATGCGGTGAAATAATATTAGGTAATATTAAATATTACAACATTTCTACTATTATATAATTTATTGGAGATATTTTAATGTACATAAATAAAAACACCTGCTGTGCCTAAAATTATTACTGCATTTCAGTCAATAAAACCCAGGCTATACCATATTCTGATTACACGGCTAGAGTAAAATTAGAGCAGAATAAATATAACATCTTTACATTCCGACTACATAACATTGTAGCGAACGGACGTGTTTCTAATCGCTCCGCTAATAGACTCGAAAAAAAGTGTATTGAAGCCGGTACTTGTACTTGTTTTCGTGCGAATTTCACATACAGTGACTAGCTTTGAATAGTGATCGATTTTTTAAATCGATTTAGTGACTCTAACAAGAAAAAAAAAATAATAATAATAACAATAATTCAATTTGCTTATAATAAAATCAGCAATCTAACACTTTATCATGCCTTGTGAATGTGGACACAAAGTTGAGCGTACTCAGAACAAAGTGCAGTGCGCTAAGTGCATTGACTTTTTTCACTTGGATTGTGTCGGTTTGCGTTTGTCTGATCTGGATTTGCTGCATAATGCAGGTAGGCAGTATTTATCGTCGTCAGTCACTTCGCTCACCTCCCCCATCGGCCTTCTCAGATGTATGTACTACTGCTGACGAAGCTGTTGGTAACTACGAGCCAGGCTATCTGAGTCAGGATTTGGATATAACTCAACAGCAGGCCGAAGATGTAAATACGCACGAAATAACCCTATGGGCTGTTTTCAACGAAATAGCAACGTTAAGAGCGGAGAACGCACGCGTACTTAGTCTTGTAACTGCTCTGTATGAAGATAAGAATACTCTTGCTAAAACTACTAAAGATCTTCGTACAGAGCTGTGCTCTTTGCAAAGTAAGCTCCACGATAAAGAGTGTGCCATTTCATCGCTGACTGATGAGGTCCAAAGCCTTCGCACGCATATACGCGACTTTCTTAACACAAAGCAAAAGGCGAACAGTTACATAAAAGACACGATTGAGAGAATACAAAGGTTGCGCCGATCTCGGACCGCTATTCCTCTCTTAACGAATTTGACAGAATCGTTGTTTGCATGACGTCACACTTGTGCAACTTGTTTACGTTTTCCTTGCAACATTTTTTCTTCTTCTTCCATTCTTGCTCACGTTTTGGCATTTCTCTCTCGCAATTGCACCAGTGTGACGTCACACAAAAGTTATTCTCAAAAATCCTCTCTGATCGGCGCAATCTTGTATTCTATCATTCTTGCATAAAAGAGATAAATACTGCTGCCGCGGGCGTCAACGACTTCGATGCTAGTTCTACTGCGCGTACTCTTAATACGCCCACGCATAGAATCTCTTGCTCTGCAGTCTCTGCTAGTGTTGCTGATACGAGCGCGAGTACGAACCCATCTGCTTGTGTTGCTGTTTCTCCCTCCGCTTTGGCTCCCATGGCATATTCGACTCAGGCAGCGGCCTCGGCTAGTGACACTGTGAAGCAAGGCGATCAAAACATCGATAATAATCATAGCTCAGACAGCGTTGTTGAAATCAAAACGAATGATAAACATAAACATGGGGTGCGTGTTGTTGGTGCTAACAAAAGCTCTGAACTGGGCGTCGCCTCTCACTTCTAATGGCTACATTTGTTTTCCTTTCTACCGAAAGTTGAACCAGAAGATATAATCAACTATGTGGCCAGACATACAGGCATTGACAAGCAAACGTTATCATTCTTCAAGCTCATTAAACGGGATGTATCGACGGACTCCCTGACGCGGGTTAATTTTAAGCTGGGTGTCACGGAATCACTTTTCGGAAAGTTACTGAACGCAGAGATTTGGCCCGCCAACGTCACCGTTCGCCCCTTTAATTTTTCCCCGAAACAGAGAAGTCATGAGCCTGCTGCGTAACCGATTCGGATACTTATCCTAATCGCATAACACCCAATATCCAAAATACAACTTCACAACCCCGTACATCTTATAAATCTGAGCTAAATGTTTACTTTCATAACGCCGGCGGCCTACGTACAAAAACAAACTCAATGTATCTAGCAACGTCAGAGCACATATATGATATTATCATCTTAGTTGAGACATGGTTGACAGCAGATTTTCTCTCGTCCGAACTTTTCAATGCCCATTATGAAGTGTACCGAAGAGACCGGGTTTTACACTCGGGTGTTACAAGAGGTGGAGGGGTTCTCATTGCGGTGTCAACTAAATTCGCTAGCCGTGAAGTGGGTCTTATGCAAACAGACACTCTCACCGAGCAAATGTGTGTTGCTGTTAATATTGGAGATCCACGTGAAGATGGAGTAAATGAGATAATGTTTGTCATTAGTTATATTCCGCCCAATAGCGACTACGTAATGTACCAAACCCATATTAGCAACATAAATGCCCTAGTAAGTTCTTTACAGCCCTTCCAGGCACCTTGTATTATGGGAGACTTCAACTTAGGTAACATTCAATGGATATTTAATGTTGAAGATCTCATTTTAACTCCATTCAACTTAAAACAAGATTCAAAATGTCTACTATGCGACTCTTTGTATTCGCTCAACTTATTTAAAATAAATAATATCGCCAACGATCTCGATAGAATATTAGATTTAGTTTTCATAAGTAATGATCTAGTCTATAAGATCTGAAGATGCGACTCACCTCTGACTTATGAATCTGTTCATCATAAGGCCCTAGTGATTAGTTTTTCTTTTTATAGATTCAACAGTGCTCCTTCTACTATAACTTCGCCAAGGCCAATTATGTTGCCATAAACAAGATCTTAAAACACTTGGATTTAATAAATATGTACATTACTTTCAAAATAGCTGTCGAAGAATGCTTAAGTCTTTACGTCCCTATACACACAAGATTGTTAAAGCTGAAATACCAAAAAAATAAAGCATACAAAAAGTTCAAAAGAACCTTGTCCATAAAAGATAAGGGAATTTTTCTTCAGCTCAGAAAGGAATTCGGGACCCTATCTAGGTTCTTGCACAAAACCTACATAAAATCGATGGAGTCTAAAAACAAAAGTAACTCTAAGTCTTTTTGGATATTTTGTAACTCCAAATGCAAAATGAACGGCATCCTCAAATCGATGGAATATAAAGGATCTATTTCAACCTCTGCCCTAGAGTCTTCCAACTTGTTTGCGAACTTTTTGGGTCACGTATATGAAAGCTTTAAAAATACTGAAATTTGCTCCGAATCATTTCAATTACAGCAGGTAGCTAACATCGGTATCGGAAATAGAGGTTTTTGAGGGTCTATTAGAGTTAGACGCCTCAAAAGGAGCAGGTTACGATCTCCTGCCACCCTGCTTCTTTAAAAACTGCGCTAACACACTGTTCATGACCCAAATTTTTAATAAAAGCCTTGACTCAGGTACTTTCTTAGATGAGTGGAAAATGGCTTTCATTGTACCTATTTTTAAATCGGGCTTAAGGAATCTGGTAGAAAACTATAGACCAATCGCTAAACTCTCAATAATTCAAAAATTACTAGACAAGCTGGTATATAAATACTTATTCTCCGCTTTCAAGCACCGGCATGCAGCAGCATGGTTTCTATCCTGGAAGGTCTACAAGTACCAACCTCGCTATTTTTTCAAATTTCGCTTTGGACGCAATAGAGAATGGATCTCAGGTCGATGTTTTCTAGACAGACTTCACTAAGGCTTTCGACAGTTTAGACCATGACCTAATTATCGCCATATTGGGGATGATGGGAGTTCATTACATCGCTTTAACTTGGCTTGAGTCCTACTTGAAAAACAGGAAGTTAATAGTCAAAGTTGGTGACAGTCTCTCTCAATTTCAGTTACTTCTGGTGTACCCCAAGGTAGCCATCTAGGCCCATTACTCTTCACTATCTTTATTAATGATGTCGTTAAGGTCTTAAAACTTAGTGAACGTTTACTTTACGCCGACGATCTCAAACTTTATCATCCTATTAAGCCTCCTGAAGACTGCGTAGCTCTACAGAATGATTTAACTCCCTCATATTATGGTGTAAATGTAACGGATTAATGCTGAATTTTCGAAAATGTAATCTCATAACCTTCTCGCGGTCGGCTTGCCCGATAACATTTAATTACGTGTACGGAGCAGATGCTAGCTTCCAGCGTGTTACCACTGTCAAAGACTTAGGAGTTTATCTCGACACCAAGTTTAGTTTCGACTATCATAGGGAATATATAATTTCTGCTGCCAATTCAAAACTCTGCTTCCTAAAACGTAACTCAAAGGAATTTATAGACCCGCTGACTCTTAAAAGCCTCTTTTCAAGCCTTGCTCGATCTCTTCTCGAATATGCCAGCTTTATTTGGGATCCGGCATTCACAGCGCATTCCGATCGATTAGAGAGAGTTCAGAGAAGCTTTACAAAAGGTGACAGGTAATAAGGTCAATGGAAATAAGGTCAATTGACTTTATTTCCCACCCTGGTGCGAAATAAAGTCAATTGACATTATTACCTTTTCAAAAGCGAAATAAAGTCAACAAAAATTTGGAAATAAAGTCATTGACGCTATTTCCTCATTCAAATGGAAATAGCGTCAACAATGCTTAAAGTATGTCGATTCATAGAAAAAAATGTTGTTCTTACAATAAACATTGCCCCGTAAGTGTTGTTTTTTTAATAGATGAAAAAGGTTATTGCCAAATCCTCAGTGTTGTGATATTAATCCACACAAAATCATGAATTACCACCATTTGATTTTATTAAAAGAATTTAAATTACGAATATGTAAAAACACGATGCGTAAAACTAAATGCCTGCGCACAGCTGGAATACGAGAAATATTTGAAGAAAGAGTGTATAAATGATCCATACCTTGCAAAACATGTTTCGTTTCCACAAAAATAAAGCGAACACTATTAAATTCAAGAAACAGTCCATGTCCAAAAACCCCGGAGGAACACTGAAAGAATTCTGTGTTTTAAATTAGCATGTTTTGAACGAATTCGGAATGTCTAAGGTGGAAAAGAAACCAACCTTTCTATAAGGAAACAATTATAGAAAAAGAATTTTCTTCACTGTATTCATGTCTCCCCCAGCAATTTGTGACGACATCATTTAAAAGTAGCTAAGGAGAATGACGACACTATTTATTAGATGGCACATTCAACGAGCCAATGTGCCAAAATGCGGGTATAAACCATTATTGATTATTTAATATCGGAACCGAGATCATATAAGTGAATTGATTGGTTTTCACACACTTTTGAAACACAAATTATATGCTTTTTTACTGCAGACAAGTTGTTGCCCCAAAACACAGCAGAAATCTTCCAATCAGGGCTGCCAACTATCCTTAGTTATGAGGTGCTATATTGAGGAAAAAAAAGGGCCAAAATATGCCAAATAGAAAAATAAAAGTGCCAAAAAAGATGTCATTCCTTTTAAAAGTGCAATGATAAAATAAGATAAACCAGTTGAATAGCCTTTATAAATTAGAAAATTTGAGTTGAGAAAAAGGATTTCAGAAAAATGTATTGAAATGTAGATAATTTTTTTACAAAAGTGCCATTTTGGCACTTTGTGCCAAATTGAAAAATTAAGTGCCATTTGAAGTAAAATAGGGACAAATGGCATGGTTTGAGCCAAGTTGGCATCCCTGCTTCTAAAACTTACAAATATAAAAATGTGAAATATCGAGGGCTTGAATTCATTAATACCCTCTATCTGCAATTTGCACAAAAACTAATTTGTGATTTTGAAAAACCATCTGAGACTTATTACCTGTCGTTATATAAGGTAGCATTAATATCACTGATGACAGCTTAAGCTTAGGTGGATTTTTATATCAGAATCTCATCTTTGTGAAAAGTTTCCAGATAGAGGGTATTTTATTGAATATAAGCCCTCGAGTTTAAAATATATAAAAATTTGATTTCAACGTATACAAAAAATAAATCTACCTACGTTACAGCACGACGGGAGACGGGGAAGGGGGCCGGGGCCGCGGCGTAGCGTGACGTGGTGTGCGCGCCGGTCGCGCGGAGTACGCGGGGCGCGAGCGCGGCGCGCGGTGTGGCGCGCTGACGCGGGCCGCCGCGAAGCTCAACAAATTTAATGTTTGAAAGAGAAATAATGTCAATGGATTTTATTTCGTTTTTAAAAAGGCAATAATGTCAATTGACTTTATTTCGCACCAGGGTGGGAAATAAAGTCAATTGACCTTATTTCCGTTGATCTTATTACCTGTCACCACGAGCACACCTAAAAGTTAAACATTCTAAAAATAGAATTATTAGCAAAAACCAACAATACCAACAAGCACATGATCAAGTGAAATGCAGGGGAATATCTGCGCTTGATTGTGTTGGCATAACAAAAATGAAAATAGTGGAAAAAGCAAACGATAATTTACAAGGCGTACTTAGCACGGTGCATAGGCAACTGGCTGAGTCAGTGGGATCGTCGGTTCGAATCCTACTGAAAGAAGTATGATGAGGAAATGTCGCGATTTCCGAAATAGCTATCAATTCTACCATTTTTTCAAATTATTGTTGCTCTTCCACAATAAAAAAAAAAAAAAATTATTTAAAAAACGGCCTCGAGCTCAA